TTTTTATTTTATTTTATGTATCTTTGACTGTTATCTTTAATTATATATATTATGCGACGACTCTTTTTCGCCATTTATTTTGTTTATTTTGTTTATACATAAAGAGTCTTTATACCGTTGTTTCTTGATCAAATTACACAATTTTAAAGTTAATCCTGCCATACTTACAAACAACATCAAAACTTGTAAAAAAAAAAAAAATAATCACAAAATTTTTAAAAAAGCGTATTATAGATAAAGCTTTATACTGTTTCTGTAAGAAAATTAAATTTTTTTTGAAAAAATTTTTTATCGAGTTGCAAAATGTTAAATACACATAATTTTAAGAAACATAACATTTTTGTTAAAATACAAAATTGTAAAGATAATCTATTTAGAAATGTCCAAAAATATATCAATGTACAAATTTTTTAATTACAACTTACAGATGACGTACTTGGCTACATCTACCAAAAAAAAAAACCTAATTTGCGCTCAACTGTGTAAAATTAATTTTTTTAATAATACAACTTATATTGCACTGAAAAAGAATTGTTTATTCGATAAAATTCTTTTAGATCGTTTTTATTTCTCTTAATAAAAATTGTATGTATTTAAGTCAGAAGAACATATTTAATTTAAATATATATATAGTCCAAGTAAAGAAATGAGAACTAATTTAATAGTCAGATAAAAAGTTCTTTTTCAGTGAAAGTTTATATATAGTCAAATACATTAACTAATTCCAACTGTATGATATAATACACAGAGACTTTTGCTGAATATAGAAAATCTAATTCTGTTGGATTTCCAAAATTTTTATGTAGAAAGTCAAAAGTAGCGAGCAACGCAGCAAAAATTTCTAATAATCAACTTGATCATCCTACAAAATTACTTTTAAAGTCTATCATATTTATTTTCAGATTTGTATGTAGCTAAATTTCTAAATCCTTCAGTAAAATCGTTCTCTCCATGTATATATTGAAAATAAACAAAATAAGCAATAATCTTGAATTAATAACAAATTACAGATTAATAATTAAATATATAGTACATTAACTTAATCTTTCAATTATGTCGCGTTATATTGCACATTCACACAAAGCTTATTATAAATTGTCGACATCAAACCAATTTCTTTTTTAAAATAAAGAATACATTTCCAATTTCCATTGGATTGTTCAAAACATTAACGATTTCACGAAATTATGTTTATTTATTCCTACTGACTCTTATGACCGTTACGATTCTATAGTTTCTATAATCAATGATTTCTTGTTACTGTTTTTGAAGAAGCAGTGACAAGTATGCCATACTGTTATTCATAACATATATGGTATGTCATATAACATATGACGGCAAAGACGTGTCTGTGACAGTGATGTATCTAAGAAATTAAAGTCAGCAATCAAGCTATACTTTTGCAACGTAATTTGTAAGTACATGACACAAATACTTGACATGTAAGCTTACACACGACATGATATCTTTATTATTCTAATTTAAACGACTACGAGACGAGTTGATTAAATAAATAAAACATTTTACAATTTTATAAAATAGTAAATATAATACATTAATGCATGTTAGCTCACAGAATAATCATTAATTCATGACTAAATATATAAAAGAAAAAAAATATTATGAATTATAATTTTAAGTGAAATTCAAAATGAATACAATTCATCTAGATAAATAAAAGCTAAAGAAGCCAGGCTAGATCTATTATGCTAATACATAAAAAAAAAAACATTCTCTTTAAATATTCCAAATTCGATCATTTCACTATAATACTTTTCAGTGGTAATGTAACTTTACAATTTCAATAAATAACAGTAACGGTTGATATGTGTTGTGTGTGTGTTTGATTCCGTTTTATTTATATGAAACTAATAAGCATCGTCAAATAATTCTTCGTTAAAATTATAAATATTATATGATCTTCTTAATATGGTCATTAGTTTAAAATTATTAGCACAATTTTTGTTTTGCAAACTAACAAATAATATCTGAGTAATATTGTTCATCATTATTTATATAATAGTAATATTTAAGCTATACTTATATCTACAAGCCACATCTCGCGTTTGTTTTACGAAACCCAATATTTTGACAATATTATCACGGCTTCTAGTTGTAAAAATAAAATACAATGTTACAAATTGTAATGTTATTAAAAAATAAACAGCGCGACATACAATGTATTTTTAAATTATAGTTAACGCACAAATACAAAATAATAAACCGTTTAAATTTTATTCAAAAATAGCAACTGTGTGTACAATTAGTAGCAACTAAGCTTACTAGCCAGTTCTTAAATATTAATGAGTTAATACATTTGTCAGTTTTGTCCAAAAATGATATCTACAGAATTTACGTAATATATTTTGATAGATGCAGTATTTATAACATATTATTGCATGAAAACCCATCATATACTGTCTCTCAAAAGTTTGAAGTATTTCATAATTTTTAGATAAATCACAATTCTGTACCAATTATTGTATTTAAAGAGTAAAATTTATTTCCATTTTAAAACATATATTATTACAATAATTTCGGATACAGATAATATAAATTTTAGTATATTTTCAATGTTTATGAATAAATTAAATTTTCTTTCAAAATTTAGAAATGCACTTTCTCAGCAATAATAGTATATATTATAGGTAATTATAATAAATTATATTAACTATCCCCCCAAATTTATATTATTTCAAACAGCATGCTAACATCAACATTTATCAGATTTAACATTAATTTACTATTATAATATAACAATTTGTAAATCATTATGCGTAGCTATCAATAAAAATTTAATAGCCTTGTGTTCCAGTTATAATTTAGCATTATGGCAGAGAGACCAAATGGGGATTCCTATACAACTGATCACCTTCCTTATAGACAATATTTTTTAAATGGACCGACCTTATCAAAAATCTCAGAAGGTATGTGTTCATACAATGTTTATTTAATTCATCAAACACATCATATTTCATGCGTGTGTACACGATAATAGTTCTGCAAAATGGAATGCAACTCTTGTTCCAACAACTGAACGTCGACATAGCTAGCTGTCCTCGTTTAACTAAAGCACCATATAATCTTGCCGGAGTAGGTAAGAAACACAACAAAGCTAATTTTTCATTAAATGGAATATCTTACAACAATGAATAATTCATATAAGATTATGTGGCAACACGACAATAATTGATTTCGTTTATCGTTCTGAAATTATACCGTGGAATCGCAGAAAAGTGGATATTCAAAAAATATACTCACAAGCAGCTGCCGTGATTCCTTTGTCATCGGATCTTCTTACGCTACAAAACCACACATGCCTCATTACGGACATGTACGTATTATCAATATTTTCATGATTTTACGATTATGTGGATAATATTACTATAACAATAAAAAATTATGATAATGTATCACTGCTACATAACTGACAATGTAATCATAAATATGAAACTATGATAATTTACAATTCATATCATTAAATCACTGATATTTTACCGCTGTTTTGTAGTTCTATTCTACTGATTTAAGCTATTCAACTTATTGTATTGAGTTTCAATTGTGTTTTTATCATACACAGTTTTTATCAGGATTCCAATGATACTGTTACTGTTTCTCATAAACCTGATTACTGTTAAAGCTCATTATGAATGCAACGTACAGAGCACCTATGGATCTTAAGAACGAGAGTCGCCTTATTTTCGCAGAAAGGCGTAACGGACAAACAACAATAGAAAAGTTAACTGATCCTAACCAAATGAAAGCCACCCAGGGCATTATGTTTGTCAGCGAGGGTAGGGCGGGCCTTGTTATCAGAGTTCGTGCCAAAGGTCGAAAAACTATTAACACAGATATCATAACTTCAATGCAAACGATTCTTTACGAAAGATATAAAAGGAATGAAAATAAAGTTGTTGGTAATTATTAATGTGGTATATACAGTTAAAAAAGAACATGTAAAAACAATTACATAATTTGTTATGTCTTATCTCAAAGCTTTAGATGGTGTTTTGAAAATGAAATACGGAAGTGTGGCGTGTAATCTTATGTGGGATGATTATCAGGAGCCTGTGTTACCATTTTATGAATTTATTAAAAGACAGCAATGTCCCGAAATATATCTAGAGTCAGATATGGTAGCCGTTGGCACAATAATTAACTATGAGCCAAAACTATGGACTCAGGAACAGCGTTATGATGTTGTAGGTTATTTGTCCCGGTTATGCCGGACACAAAAAATCATTGTTCTTGAAGTTATCATATTATATTATTTACCATAGATAAATTTCATTAGAAATTTAATTGTTTATTAATTAATTAAAATAATTACTATTGTCAAACCGTTTCTGTCAAATTTAAGTCTGTGATTACTAAGTTGAGTTAAAATAGAGGAATCTTTCGCGATCATTTAATCATTGAACGCAACAGTTTTGTTTAAATCCGAAAATTTAGTCATGTGATATGTACACTATTTGACAACGTCGCATTACATATAAACGTTCATATGTATAAACGTACGTATGAACGTACGTATAAACGTATTTTATAATTAAGGAAATTGCTACAGCATATGAAGGACATGTAGATATATTACCGATAACCAAAGAAAAATACATCTCCTAAATATAAATACAGATGATATGATTTTTGATTTGATAGAGTAAATGATATAAAATAAGAACTTAGACGCACCGCGTCATTAGCTCCATCATTACGACATTGCATGTTGAAAATAAATAACGTAAACAATGTTACTGAATTAATAATAAAAAATGGATAAAATATATATTATGTGGAATTATTTTAATAATGTCGCGTTTGTTTTTGAATAAACAACCATTTTTTGTAAATTTAACTTTAAATAAACTTTTTATTAAAAATAAATAATAAATTTTAAATTTCTATTTATTTGTAAATTTCAAAAGCAAGTAACGATTTCACAAAATTATGTTTATCAGTTATCTTTCTGATGACCTCTTTGTTTCTAAAATATATTAAATTGTTGTGTTCTTGTTATATTTGAGAAAAAGCAGCAGCTCATAAGTGCGCCATACTGTTCGTATAGTTATGACAGAAAAGACGTGTGAATGACAGTCATTTAACTAAGAAATTAAACATTTTGCGATCATACAATACTTTTGTAACGTAATTCGTAAGTAGAACACACACACATACTTGATATACACACGACATAATATCTGTATTATTCTAATCAAAAGGACCAAGAGACGAACAAATAAGATGTTTAAATAAATAAAGCATTTGATGATTTAATAAAAAAGTATGATACAATAATGTAGGAAACATTTTGACTCACACAGTCATTATCATTTCGGAGTTAAACATATAAAAGACAAAAAAATATTACAAATATTACATTTAAATGAGGCTATAAATAAATACAATTTAACTAAATAATTGAAGGCTAAAGAAGCCGAGCTGGATTTATTGTGCTGATAAAATATTGTATTCTCTTTAAATATTCCAAATGTTTAGATCATTTTACTATGATTTTATTCAGAGAGGTGCGTAACTTTACGGTTTAAATAAATGGCATCAACAATTATCAATTTTCTATTTTATCACCTTGTATAATGTCGTGAAATAATGCCTCATTATAATACTAGATATTATATGTTTTTAATGTAATCCTTGATTCGAAACTATTTCCAGTTATGTATACTAAAAAAATCATCATATTTATGATCTTAACGAAGAATGACTTAACAATGTAGAAAGTGATTTAAAAGAAAACTAATTATATATATATATATATATATATATATATATATATTGTAAC